AGGAAAAAAGGTAGTGCAAGAATTTTAAAGTATAAAATCAACTTAGATAGTCAAGATTTATTCCCACTTGCTCATCAGAATCCTCATCACAGTCCTCATTGGAACTAAAGAGTCTTTTGGTTTACTTGATTGCTTTGATGGTAACTGGAATTGAACTCAAGGCCTTTGCACTGAGCTACACCCTGAACTCTTTTTATATTTTATTTTCGGACAGTCTTGCTACGTCACTAAACTGCCCAGGTTTGGCTGAAACTTGCAATCTTCCTACCTCAGCCTCCCAAATAGCTAGGATTACAGACATGCAACAGCCTGCCTGGCTTCCAGACTATTCTTTAAGAACCCCTGAAATTTAGCATAGTGACACATACTTGTGATCCTCACTATTCAGAAGGCTGAAACAGGAGGACAGCAAATGTAAGGCCAGCTTGGGCAACTTAGCAAGATTTTGTCTCAAAATATAAAATAAAAAAAGCTAGGGCTATAGCTCAGTGGTTGAGCACCCCTAAGATGGGAATTTTAGTGACATTTTATCTCAAAAAATAAAATAAAATAAAATAAAATAAAATATAAATAAATAAATTAACTAAAGTGGCTATAGAGTGCTTGCCTGTTGAATGCAAAAGCCTGGGTTCCATTCCAGTGCTGTCACAAAAAGCCTTTAGTTTTATACTTTCTGTTTATGAGATACTAGGAATTCACAAATTTCATAACAGTAGTTCCAAATGATGCCTCACAAATTACTATAAGCCATGTCTTTTGAGTGTTATTCAATCAAACACTTAACACTCTTGTTGTAAATGATTTGCCAAAGTTCTGCTCTCACATCAAAAATCAATAGGTGTAGGATTCGGGAGATAGCTTGGTAGTTAAGTGGTTGCCTGGGTTCCATCCCCGGTACCACATACTGTACAGGTCCTGGAAACCTAGGCACGCAGTGCCAGCCACAGAAACTAGGCGTGGTGGCACATGCCTGTTGTGGAGGACCACCTGAGCAGCTGTTCTTGAAAGGAGAGTGATCGTCTCCATCTTGGCTGAGCACCAGATCCCTAAAACATTAAATACTATCTTAATAGTATAATGCAAATTACTTTCTCTGCATATGGCAGAGGTAAATGTAGGCCACCCACCTAGCTTAGCTCACAGTAGTCACCTACTTCCCACAATTCTCAGTCATTCCTCCTCAAGTCACTCCTTCACTGACTAAAACCCGGGTACTGCCCTGGGTCAGCCTCTTTGCTCTGGAAAGTTCATGGCTGGACTTAGGGCCCCTTGGCTCTCTGACAATTATAAATATGTTTTAGTATCTTTATTTTCACCATAGGTTGCACTGGGAGTGGTAGATTGGAATTAACTTTGTGGAATTCCAATAACGTATCTTTGGGATTACAAATATTAACTTCTTGGACCGAGAGGAGAACCTGGAGGGAACTCCTATAGCCTCTAACCCCAGCATTGTGGAGGCTAAGACAGGAGGACCACTACGAGTCTGAGCTGCATAGCAAGACCATGTACCAAATCAATCAATCAATCAATCAATCAATCAATCAATCAGTACAGACAAACTACATAGACTTTATAATTCTAGAAAATGCCACATATCTTCAAATTAATACTGTGAGGAAAAATGCTTCGTGAAAGATGAAACTACTTAAATAATCTATATGCAAATATACATATACCTTAAAACACAATGTGTAGTATATCAGTTTTTTGGGATTTGTTAAATATTCATATATTTGTTTACTATATAGATTTCATTTTCAGTATAAATGTATATGGTTATGTGTATGTCACCATATATTTTTACAGTAAGTTTATATTTTTCCTATATATTTTAAAAGTTTAATGTTACTGAAAAATACTTTTATTTGGAATACAATTTATCATTTTGTTTCTTTTTCTTAATAAGGATTTATTAGGGTATTACTTTGCGCAGATAGAAGGGTTTTTATTCTCATTACTGAGACCAGACGAGAGAGGGAAATTATCTTGACCCAAGTTTCACAGCTAGTAGGTGACAGAGCACAGCCAAGTTTCATAATCAGATCTATCTGATTCCAGCCCTTCTGAGGTTTGCACCACTATACTCTGCTATTTCCCATTCAGTTTTGGCTAATGCTTTTATATGCTGTTTCAAGTCTTTCTGAATTTCTTTAACTTATTTGTGCTTATTGTACTTAGCCTTTCCTGGCGTCTACACATAAAGGAGCTCCTCCCTTCATCACAAGATGTTGCTCTGAACAGCTAGTGAAAAGTGAGTTTGGTGGTATAGGCTAGGGAAAGCCAATCCCAGGGGAAGATGACCACGCATACCCCGAATTGGAGGGAACTGAAGTCCCAGGAAATCTCTAGTGCACATATTGGCCAATTATAGAGAAGGAAATTGAGTTTGTGACTTCTGATTTTGACATTGCTCTGAAAGTCATCAAGATTTAACAAGAAGTGACAATAGCCTGGTAGCCAAACTCTTGTAAGAGACAAACTGTGGTCAGATAAGTAGAAAGCAAATGATCAGTAGATAGACATATAAATAGACAGACAGACAGACAGACAGACAGACAGACAGACAGACAGACAGATGGACAGACAGGTAGATAGATAGATGTATATGACCTCCCACATACTAAACATGTGCTATACCACTGAGCTTCACCTCTAGCCTCAAACTTTTCTTTAATTGGAAAAATGCATATTGAAATTTGACTGTTCTGGATTCATGAGTCTCAAAAATGTAGACCTTCTGGATTGCGGGTTGTAAACAGGAAATAAGAACTGTGTGACTCTCCTCCCTGGAAATGGATAGCACTCAAGGTATGGAGTTCCACCTCAGAAATTATGGTCTTATCTTGTTCTTGTCATTGGACTTTTCTGACTAAACAGGGCCAAAAACTTAGGACTGCCAAACATCATTTAAACAGCTATTTTGTCAAAATCACTTTATAATGGTCATAAAAAGGTGTTATACTGGGGAAAGTGCTCTCATATTAATGGATGTGACACAGAGAATGGTTGTGAAAAGGGGATCATTATAGTGTCTTCTCTCCCTCATTGTTGAGAAGACCTCGTTTCTCATACAAAATGGAATCATTTCTAAACATTGAATTCTTAGAACACTCTATAAAATGCCACTAGAATAAGATTGGTTAGATATACAATTTGGAGGGAAACACTAAAGTATATTTGGTAAACCAGATGCATTAATTATTGTTATCTTATGTTTTAGTTTTTCTTTAAAAGTATTTGTATGCTATTATTATACAACGAGAAGTTCACTTTATAAAATAGATGCAACATTATTAAACTTTGTCAAATTTAGCATCTTCTCTAGTAAATTTTTACTAATTTTGCTAAAATACTAATACATCGATTTGGTTATTAGGACACAAGATGGTCTTTTACTTATTTTAACTGAACTTTTCCCATAATTTAATTTCTTTTTCTTAATTTGATTACATTTTTACATTTGTTTGATATGCCAATCCCCAACACTATATATGCAGAACAAAGTATGTGTTACAAAAGTATTGCTATTCTTACTCTTAGGTTTATATTATTGTATGTATTAGAAATAATAAGATTTACACCTTTAGACCATCACGTTAAGTGAAATAAATCAGACACAGAGTTAACTATCACATGGTTTTCCTTATGTGAGAAACCCGGAGTAAAAAATAAAGAGCAAAATAAAAGTTAGATCGTAGAAGTGGGGAGATGGGTGGTTCTCAAGGGGAGGGGTGGGGCGATGGGTGAAGGGAAAGGTGAGGAGTAAGAAAGAGGACTGGAGATGTGCTGTGCGGATCTGCCACCTCCACCCCAGGCACGGGATCATTATGTACTCCAAACACACACAAAAGAATAAAAGAAAGAAGGAAGAAGATCAAGGGATGGAGAAGAGAAGGAGAAGGACTGAAAGAAGTAAGATATGTTTATGTGCCAACTTCCCATAAGGGATGCAAACATGATGTGCTACGTGTATGTTCTACTACACTAAGATTAAAAAATGTAAAAAGTAAAGTAAAACATTTTTAAAGGTTTTAGAGAATTCTTAGCACTTTCTTAGCACTTCCCTTATAGTACTCCCTCTTGATATCTTTAGAAAGTCCTAAGCTGATTATCAAGAAGAGAATTACAATGCATTATTATAGATGTGTGCCTTAATAAGGTAAGTGTGCAGTGAACGTGTGAAGTTTATGAGCTCTTTCCTCCTAAGAGTCAGAAAAATATTAAAGGGCAGGGGCCCAGAAGAGGGAGGGCTGCGTCTTAGTTTCACCAATGGTGCAACCATTTCTATCTAAATTCAGCCTAAAAACCACAAGTTAGATACATCAGAATTATATGCAAACCCTATTCATGGTATTTTTCATGAATTTCAGAAACCAGACAAAATACTTACTTTACCTAAATATTTTAGAGAACATCGCCTTATCCTTGAAGTTCCATCTTGTTAAACTAATTTCTCCCATTAAAGTATTGTTTTCCTCATGAGAGAAACAGTTTCTGAAAGAATTTCTCCCTTCAAAATAAACTAGCACATGTCTAAATAAATCTCCAGAGGAAAAGCCTCAGGTTCTGTTTCTGTTTTAGGATGAAAAGGGAGAAACCTTGTTGTCCAGTGTGGTTGGAAATAAGAGCTGAATAACTCAATTCTCCAATGTATTTAAAGATACTCAGAGACGTCTCTGTTGAATTTTTAAAATGAGCTCTTACACAACAAAATAGTGTGCCATGTGAATGGATTTAATAAAAGATTGGAGGTATAAAATTAATAACAGAAATACTTGTCTAATTTCATTTCTGAACAATCAAAGCATTCTAATAAAGCTCTTTCATTTTAGCCATTAAGAAGTAGAATCCAAAATTTTAAATTTAGCATTCTTAAGCTCTGTCTCAGGCAGATGCATACATATATCGGAAAACAAAGGCAAAAGCAGTTCATCTGGGCTATCTAAACATCTTTGCATGATTTGATTTATGAAATGATAGAAGAAAGAGCAGATTACCTGACACGCAGAGGTAGTACCTGTCCTGGACCGAGAACTCTATTTCTATAAACTCATACAGATTCTGCGAGAGTGGCTTGAACAGTTTCTTCTCCAAGTCCTCTTTTACCAATGATGACATTTCCTCCAGTTCCACTTGGCCTGATTTGTGGCTCAAGCTCACGCTTTCCTTCTGCTCTCCGAGTCTTACTGGGATTTGCGAGGCTCCCCACCGTCACGCTCTCTTCCTTCTCTTTCGGAGCCAACTCCGGCTCGGAGTGCGGCGCGCAGCCCCTTACTGCGGTGTCTGCCCAGGGGCAGCCGGGAGGGAGCGGCCAGAGCAGCAGGGCGCTAGCAAGGCCGGCAGAGCGCGGCGTCCAGCCTCGGGCTCAGGAAGGTTGCTCGCAGGAGCTCTCCCGTGGCTCCCTCATTGGGAGCATCACAGATCTACTTGTGGAGTCTCCCGGTTATTCCCTTTCTCCTTTCGCAGCAGAGCTATGTAGAGCTGGACCACTGCTTCAGCTTAGTGCCATTATATAGAACAGCTGTCTGGCTCTATTGATCGGGATTAGCTTCCATTAAGAACTTTGCTCTCATCGTCAAAAGAAAAGACACCCGTGCCTGCTCCTAACACCTCCAACAAGTCTCCTTCCCCTTCTGCAATGCGTTCAGACCTCTGTGTCCATGAACAACAGCATCCATTTCTGGGTCTAAATTACTTTTAAAATGGAAATACAAAAGGGCCCATTTAATCATAATTATTTTTCTCACAAACAAAAATACATTAGGTGTTCACTAGCGTAGAGCACTACATTTGCTTCTTGTGAGGGTGAACCTGCTATCCTCAAGTTTAGAGACCAGCACCAGCAGAGTACTCTAAATAATTATCATCAACTTGTGGAAGTGCTATGAGGCACAGAGGGAAGGGAATACAACCTAGAAAACGCACATACAAGGCTGGAAGGGTCTGAAGTAGGTGGGATATGTCTGGAACTGGAGGAAGAGGGGTAGGAGAGGAGGGGCATATTGCCCTTAAGGGTCAGGATTGCATGGCCATAGACCTGCGTCCTAAACACAAGGGTGTGCTCTGTGTGAATTGGGGTCCTGCAAAACTCAGGGCCAGCCAGTGGAATGACATGAAGACACGGGCTCTCAGAGGTGATTAGGCTAATGGGCTTCTCCCTTATGGACAGCATGAAGACCCTGGTGGCAGAGGCTTCCTGAGGCCTTTGGCTGGCTTGCCCTTATGCTTTCTGCCGCTAGAGCACCCAGCACTCCGCTGTTCTGGAGAAGGCAGCTCCTACTGCCCCACTTCATGGTGCCTTGATCTACTACTTCCAACCTTTGAGAACTATGGGAAAGATTTCTTCTTTCCATAAATTACTTAGTCTGTGGTATTTTGTTGTAATGGCTCAGATGACTAAGACAGGATTGGAAAGGATAAGAAATTGTCTTAATTTCCTGAGTTGTAGGACATGTGAACTGAAAAAATAAGGTCAGAAAGAAGAATTGGGGCCATATTGTGAAGGCCATACTTGCCAGGTTGATCCTTTGGACTTCACCAGAAAAAGAAGAGTATTGATGAAGGTTTGGGGACATTCATTCATTCAATAATTCATTTAACACTTTTTTTTTAAATCCAGGATTGGCTGTGTGCCAGGCAGACTCTAAGCTGGGGATATGACAATTAAAAAAAAAAAAAAGGCAAATCCTTGTTCTGTGAGGCTTAGAGGGTAGCTGGGACAGAAAGTAGCAAAGCAGTAGTACCTTCAGGGTGCACTCAGCTACAAGTTACAGAATATAGGTAATAGTGTAAGTAATTTCCCACATCATTAAGTCTACAGGTAGGCACTTCCAAGATCAGCTCAAGGTCATAGCTGTGAGCCCCAAAGCAGTTTCCACTCTTGGGATCCACCATTCTCAGATATGGACTTCTTCATCTTTTTGGGGGGTGGGGTGGGCAGGGAGTAGTCCTCAGGCTGCTATGCTTCAGCTCAAAAGAAAGAAACAGGGACAGGGAGATATCTCGGTAGGATAAGCGCTTGCCTGGCAAGTGCAAGGTCCTGTGTTCAATCCCTGGTACTGAAAAAAGAAAGAAAGAAAGAAAGAAAGAAAGAAAGAAAGAAAGAAAGAAAGAAAGAAAGAAGAAAGGAAGGAAGGAGAGAAGGAACGAAGGAAGGAAAGAAGCAAGGAAGAAAGGGAAGATCCCTGAACAGAAAGTATTTGTCACTTTCGCTTGCTATCCTGGCAGGTCAGATTTTTCTAACAATGAGGAAGGCATGGAAATAACTGTGAGCAGGCAATGTACAATGTTTTCCGTGGTTGCTCTCAAGAAAAATTAAAGGCAGGCCCAGGGTCAGGCTGAACTGTGGGTGAAAATATTTAATTTCAGAAGCCTTAATTACCTCATCAGAAGAACAATCTCTAGGGTCTTTTCCTGCTTTTGTGTTCTTCTACTCTGCCTGTGATTCTGGAAATCTACTGGACTAATTTGGGTAAGAAGAGTAGAAGAAATATAAGAAATAGAAGAGAGGGAATGTGTAGAAGGTATACCTGCATGAAAAATCTGGAATGATGGCACCCAATAAAATGTGGAAGATGGAGTCAATGTAACTACCTCGCAGGAGGTTTTTTAAGAGGAAAATCTTCCCATGATAGCAGCCCAAAGTGGTGTAATTTCCAACTTGTATATTGAAGTTATTTTTTTCTTGGATGTTTTAGTTTTCATGTGGAGAAACATAGACTAACTGCAGTCATAGAAACTCATCAATATTCTCATTGAAATAATAACGAGGTATTTATTTGTTTGAAAACCCTTATGCTTTGTTCCCTTGTAAGTCCACAAAAGCAGAAGCCATGTGTTTTGGACTCACTATATTTCTAAAATATGCAGTCTTCAAGGCCTGATACTTCATGGACATTCTTGCATTCATTTTTCAACAATTAATTAATTAATTAATTATTATTTTTTTGTGGAACTGGGGATTGAACTCAGGCCCTTGCCCATGCCAGGCAAGCACTAATTTATAAATATTTACTAATCAACAAATAAAAAATGGCTTTAAACATTTCTTTGCACAACTGTTCTGCAGTGAAACATCCACAGAAACAGAGTGGACAACTGTTAGGCTTACCCATCCCCTACCCTGTAGCAAAATGTGTTTGTTTTTGTTGTCTTGAAGACGTGGTCCTTAGATGTTTTCAGATGCTCTTCTGGAGGAAACACAGTAGCTCTCTCTGCAAGTCCTTGTGATTCCTTCAAAGATATTGTCAGAAAGATAAAGATGGGGGCCTCGGAGATAGCTCAGCAAGTCCCAAACAAACCAAACCAGGAAAGCACAGCTATACATGCCAGTCTGCTCTTAAGTAACACTGAAAGAGAAGCTCAGGAATTTACAGGGCAACATTGTAACTTCTAAATTCCAAATCAAATGTTTACTATCAATTGCTAGTGTTCACAAACTATTATTGTGTTGAATCTGTTTATGGTATTAGTCTGATTTATAGAGGAAAAGTCAAAGTCATGTTAAAGTGCTAATACATGTTTCTAAGTTTCTAAATAACTCATGAAAGCAACCTATCAAATATTATCTCAAAGAATTCAAGGATTAAGCTTTAAAATAACTGCAAATGACAACTCATTACAAGTGGAAATAAGAAATTTTAGTCTTTAATTTTATTAGGAATAATTAATTAATTCTTATTAGTATAGAGGAACAAAACACTAAAATCCTTGAAAACTAACATCAAAAAAGAGGTTGCAAAAATTAAAAACAGTGCTCATTCCTATTAGCAAATATTTAGAAGTTATTAAAGTATTTTTGCTCATAGCCAAAGATTACTTTAGTCTCTATATTTTCTAAGATGCTATAGAATTGTCAATGGAGATAAGGAAAAAGCCATAGGAAAATGACATTTTTCTGGAGTTATTTTAGAAATTCCCAGATGTCCCTCACATGTTTCTTATAGGGAAGGAATTTTTAATGCCTACTTTGGCATTAGTGAGCTGCAGGTCATCCAGCATCCCAGGTAAAGCAATGAAATCTGCATATGTCTAGATAGATCTTAGCTAGAATAGTTGGAGACAAGTTACTCAGAAGGAAAGACCTTCTTGAACATAAGACCTGTGGATTAATCTTTGTGTTGATTGCAGAATAGAAACCTGAGTTCTAAAAAAACCAAAAACTGGAGCAGTTAATTGTAAGTCTAAGTCTAAAAATACTGTAAGTCTATTTTATCCTTATTCTGTTTTCAGAGGTTTAGGAATGATTTTCAGTTTTGAAATTATGCTTTAATGACCTCCCAAACTATTTTTTTAAGTTTCTGATATTCTTTTCCAAACATAGAACGTTTTATTTGCTGGGGAATAGGTAACCTCATTGTGTTTAAATAATGGGATGACCCCGTGAGAGGATAGCAAGATCAATTCCTTTTGCGCAATCACGAATTATGGAATGATGGGTCCCCCTGCCAGTTAATGCTACTCTGGAGGTAGAGCTGGCTTGCCTGGGAGGTTGCCGAGGCAGAGTCCTCAGAGCTGCTCTGCAGGTGCCTGACGCTGTGCAAGTGGAAGCTGGGCCCCAGCTTCTGTGTCTTTTCTATGGCCTACCCCCTGAACCTCTTTTACTTAAGCACAGGCTGTGATTGCCTATGGTTTTACACCATAAAGTACTCAAGTGACCTTTAAGACAGCAGGGGAGTGCCAGGTTCTGTGTGCTGGCTTTGGAACTATCCCTTGTTTCATGTACCCTTCTGCACAAACTAGGAGGAAATTATCATTGTTCTCATTTTATTCATGAGAACATAAACCATTCTATGGAAAAACAGTTGCCCTCATTAAAGTGTGACAAGAAGGAGAATCTCTGTGTCACATGTTGCTGCTTTCACCCTTGGTGATGTAATGGCTCTAATAAAACATGTTACTGTAACAATCTTTTCATTAGCAAGTTCCTGAACTTTACACATTTTAAGTGACTGTATACTGTACTGAAAAAATACCACCTCTACATTGTATTTCTTAAGCTTATTAGCAGGAATCAAATGGCTCAATATAAAATGAATTAATCTTATATTACATACATAAAACTTTATTATTGATTCAGATCATGATTCTTTTACTTAATCCACTACTTCTTTGGTGATTCTGGTTTAATATATATA